GTTGTTAACCGATGTTGTCCTACGTTTATATTTTCCCACCTTGATGCTTAAATAGGTAACTGTTTATATCTGTTTACTTATTTAAAGTCAAGAGTTTTGTTTGATTATCATTACAACATAAATTTGCTACATTCCTGTAGAACCGCAGCCGCTGCACAAACGACAAAAACTGATGAAGGAAGATTGTCAGCCGATTGCATCAGAAAATGAAAATGAAGAAGCTCGTCTTTAGTCTGCTAAATTATTGTGTAATGTAAAAGAACACTAAAATTACTTAAGTTTGAAACCAAGTTCGAACATTTCAAGGTTTAAATTGTTTAATGTAAAACAGGGTTGCATCTTGTTTAGAGTTTATTTCTTTTGCGATGCAAAATAAGAAACACTAGGCTAATCTTATTCTTGCGACATTTTGAATTTGTATTGCCAAAGAAATTACAGCTAAATTAAACAATTAAAACAGTAGGCCTACAAAACGAAAATTGTCCAAAGAAACATAATTAAATTAAAAACATGCGTTTCTCTTTGCCTCTCTCGCGCTGGATCTCTTTTTAACAAGTTTATTTAGTCTCCCTCGCTGCGCGCGCGGGTCTCTCTCTCGAAATTAAACATTTCAGGGTAAAAACACATCATACAGCTGATAATACTGTATATGTCGCTGCGTGTCAGCCATACAAATCACGAAAAAATTATTTAACCTTCAATTGTTGCTTCAAAGACACAGCATGCCTTGTTGAATTCACCTTACAATAACTTCAATTGAAATTTTGTGTGAAAAAAACTTTAAATAGGCTACAATAAATAAACTACAATATTTATAATTTAATAAGATATGGGGTCTACATTTGGACACAGATTTATCCTTACAATAATTTTGCCTGCTCATCAGGCTGGCTATCCGACACTCTCCATATGAAAGAGGAACATTAACACCTTTGTCCAGCAACTGTCCCTCCAACCCCCCACAGGCTATCGGAGTCTGAGGCTGACTTAACACAAAGAGAAGTCGCAATTCACACTTAAATCGCTATTCTAGACAGTGTTGATAATGAAGGAATTAAATGATTTAAGTTACATGTAGCCTAGTGATATTTCTGTCACAAAAGTTTAATTACTAAGTATTTCATTATTTCAATAATTGATGAAATAAAACTGGTTTGGGCCAGCTTTTTCCAAGCAAAACTAAATATAATCTGAAAAAACGCATGTTAATTTGTTGTCATGAACAAAATGTTCAACTCAATATTAAATTCTACAGGGATCTTTGGATCCTTACTAGGCATGCAATTTGTGAATTAAGTTTTTATTTTATTTTGTATTATTCAAATAAATATCGAAACACGGTGCTTCGTGGTAATGCTGCTAAATTAAATAACATTTATAGAATAATTATGAACTTAAATGAAACAATATCGCAACATTTCGACAAATACATTATTTGATTTGTTTTTACATTTTAATTCAGGGCGATTTAGCCTACATAGAGCGAGATTTTCACCCTTGTCTTGTCATTTTCTCATTGGGAAGCGCTTACATTGCATGTTTGAGTAGATCCTCTGTAGGCCTATACTGTTTTTGTCGTTAGCCTATATGAATACAAGTTTACAGTTTTGAACGATGTAAGCCTACTCTTATCTGTATGACCAAAAAATTATGGGGGGGATTAAAATAATTCAGCAGAAGCAGGGATGTTTAGACCAGAAGGAAATCCTAGTCCCCCCTGGCAAATCACACTTTACTTAAAACCATGTTTTTAAAAACTCTAGGTTGTAGGGAACAGACCTCTCTGCCATGCGCGCGCATGGTTTCGAGCACAATATCTGTCTCGCATGCACGCTCGCTCTAGATAGATTACGGGATATTTTAACTAATTTGCGGTATAACTAGTCGATCACGAGTGGCTCAACAGGTAGATCTATAGATAAACTATATCTTTTAGGAATTTGACCGACCGGGTTGACACTTCAGCGTGAGAAATCGGGGGTGTGGCGTGAGAGCGTGAGATTTGGGTCAATTGCGTGAGAGTTGGCAGCCCTGAAAAAAAAAAAAAAATATATATATATATATAGTATATATATGGTATATATATATATATATATATATATATATATATATATATATATATATATAGGCTATATATAATTAATTTTTTTACATAACTGCTTTTGAAATTACGATTGGTAGCCTATTATTATACAGATGCAAAGTCGTTCTGTTGGATACTATTTTTTTTCCTTAGTGTAAAATGGAAATGCATGATAATTGTATTTTATAAATATAAGCAAAAAAAACTGTATGGTGTAACAGAGTTTTAGAGCTAGACAAATCGAAATAAATATAAAATATACAGCAGACCTTGTTTGTGCGGGATTTGAACCCGTGTCATCTTGATGATGAACCCTAAGTTCTACCGCTCGGCTATGAATTTACTCACTGAGAAATACCCAAACGTCTGTTTCTCACATGAGCGATTTTTTCATTTAGCCTGTGAGTGTAGGCCTATACTTTAGCCTTTTACAGTTTTAAAAGATTATATCTTATCTGTATGACCAACAATTACGGAGTAGGCTATAAATGTTTGTTGTAGGCTTATTTGGAAATTACCATAACTTGTAGTATTTCATCCTTAGGCTACAGACATTAGCCCCACTTAAGTTTTGCTAAATGTCCCTTTGCGCCACCTGGCGGTCGTTTCGCGAACGACTTTGAAATGCGACTGGTTTATTTTGACCGCCGGTGGATGGCTAAAAATGGTATGTGGATGGCTAAAAGGTGTGACTAAAAATGTGCTTTTGGCTTTCATTTATATTTTGATTGTTTGTATATATATACACACTACCGTTCAAAAGTTTGGGGTCGGTACGATTTTAAATACTTTTAAAAGAATTCTCTTCTGCTAACCATGGCTGCGCTTATTTGATTAAAAATACAACAAAAATCAGTTATAGTATTAAATATTATTCCAGTGTAAATCAGCTGTTTTCTGTGTGAATATACAGTAAAGTGTAATTTATTCCTGTGATCAAAGCTGAATTTTCAGCATCACCAGTGTCAGTGTCTTCAGTGTCAAATGATCCTTCACAAATCAGTATAATATGAGGATTTGATGCTCAAGAAACATTTATTATTATTATCAATGTTGAAACAGTTGTTGGTCTGTCAGTTGTACAGTTTTTTTTTTTTTTTTTGGGGATTCTTTGATTAATAGGGTTAGGGTTAGAATCTTTTGTAACATTATAAATGTCTTTACTGTCACTTTCGATCAAATTAATTATTCCTTGATAAATAAAGGTATTGATTTCTTTCCTCCAAAAAATAAAAATAAAATTCTCACTGACCCCAAACTTTTGAACGGTAGTGTATATATATATATATATATATGTGTGTGTGTGTGTGTGTGTGTATACATATTTATTTATTTATTTATATATATATATTGTCCTTGCATTCTTTCTTGTGTGACACCACTGAATGAAAGGCTCATTAGTATGCAGTCTGCTCAGGTGAGAACTGCCTAATTATTCATGAGGGGGTTGGGCCGTTCCGCCCATCCGCATATTGCCTTTGCAAACAAAAAAATGTTTTTCACAATTTAAAACAATCTATTGTTTTATGTGAATGATTAGGCAGAATGATTTTCAGATCAATTCGAAGCAAAAACTCTAGGCGACAACATCCACTAGTCAAAAGTCTTGTGGACAGATATTTAGTATGTTATTTGTGGCCTTATATTAGAAACTTTATTTTTTTGTTTTTTCAATAACCACGCATAAACAATATTCTCTCAACAATACAAACATGTATTAACATGTTGTTCACATATTATGGTAGCCCTGTGTGTGCTATATAGAGTGTAATTTAACCTGTGCCATTAATATGTTTATAAGCAACTGAAAAAAGCAGAAATGTCAGAGCATGCCAAAACATCTCAAGGACCCTGAAAACACCTCAGACCCCAGAGGGTTAAAGGTGGGGTATGTGATTTTCTTTTTTGACCATTTTTTCAAAATCACTTGAAATCCTATTCCTAACCCACTTACAGCCACTGAGTTAGAAGCACTGACATGAAAATTAAAAAATTTAATCATCTGTGGAACGGGCAGGACTCGAAAAACTCCAGCCAATCATTTCCAAGACCACCTAGAATCATTGGACAGTAAGTGCGTCAATCAAACGGTCGTACCATACCCCCCTCCCCCCATGCCCCTCTTCGAATGGGTGGAGTCAGGGCCAGCGTTGGAGGAAAGAAGGTAGGACCTTTTGAGTTGTGTATTTTCAAAATCTGCCGGCCGTTTTGCAAATCACTTACCCCACCTTTAAGGCAGAGGTGCACCTTGCACTTAGTGCAAACCCCTCTGACGATGCCCTTGCAGCCAGGATTCTGGCACCTTCCTTTTGGTGCACCCATCTCTGGCCAGTGATCAAAGCGGTCAAGACGGATATATATTTTAATTTTATACTTTACTTTTACTTTACTTTATAAATATATACAAATATATATAAATATATGAGTATAATACAACCATCCAACTATATCAGTGCATCCATACATTGTCATTCATACAAAGCTACTCTGCATTAGCATGGGCAAAATATTGTTCCATTACCGCACAATGTTGCCATATGGCAACATACCTATTTTATTAAATAAAAAGGTAATATAAGTATCAAAACAATGTGACAATGATTGAAAAAAGATTAGAAATTATCCCAGATGCTTGATGTATTTTTTTATTCCGAAGAAATATGAAAAAAATGAGGAAAATCTTCACATATACACAAGCACTTTTTCAGCAGCTGGAGTCATCAAAAGTGTGTGAAAAGAATGACGTTGCAAGGGTGTGTGTAGTGTCGTGATGTCATCAAAGCATATCATTGGTTACCACCGGGTTCTATTATGAATTTAAGATCAATCAGAGCTCATGTTTATTTTCAAATTTCAAGAAATGTCCAAAGAAAGGGTATGTTGCCATATGGCAACACTGTGCAGTAGAGGGTTAAATTAACTAGTTCTCTCCTACATTTAAAACTAACAGATGGTAATTGACTTCAATGATGTTCAACACTCATAACTCAGTTAAAATTACAGGAAATTTGGTTTATGGTTTCATGACCATTTAATAATGTCACTCAGTTTTCCTTTTTCTGCTGCAACACTTGCCACACACAAATCTAATGGTTAAAAATATGAAGAGAGTGAATATCAAAACAACTGCAAACAATGTAACTGTAACATCTACTGAGTAATAGGAGTACCAAGGCAGTTTGTAGGATTCTGTTCGGAGGTGAGCAGCACCTTTGTGTCTCATTACAAACTCAATCCAAAAGAGGGCGCTTTCCAAAGGTTTAACTGGCTTGTCTCTGTGCAGATGAGAGAGTCTCTGCATACTCAGTCTGTAAGATGGTTCATTGATTACTTCCTGTATGGCTTTAAACAGTGTGTTTTTATCTAAAGTTGCGATGGAAACAATATTAGCTCCTCCCCTTTCTTGCAACCGAAGAAGATTGTCGTACTGGTCAAAAAAGAATGGAATTCCAACCACTGGAATACCGTGGTACAAAGCTTCTTGAACCCCATTGGTTCCGCCATGTGCAATAAAAACTGTAGTCTTTGGATGCCCTAGAAGATCGTTCTGTGGCATCCAGTCAACCAGTAATGTGTTGTTCCCCAAAGTAGATGGTCTCTTTCCAGTGTATCTCCAAATTACCTTTTGCGGGAGCTGAGCAAAAGCAGTAGCTATTTCCGCTGTTAAATCATCTGGTAGGGCACTGATAAACGACCCTAAAGACATGATGATGACTCCATGCTCTCCAGAACTTTGCATGAAGTCTTCCAGATCATGTGGAAGGGCCTTCGCTGGTTTGCATTGGAAGCCGCCAATGTAGATGATATTTGGCATTGTTGGACGTGGAAATTCAAAAACAAAATCAACCCTCATAAGCCATATATCAGCCCCCTGGAGAAGTTCAATAAAACGTACAGGCGGATGGAAATATTTGTCACAAAGTGCTTGGTACTGTGGCAAATTAAAATAGCTGTACTGAAAGGCCATTAGGAAATAATAAAAAACATTTTTTACTCGTTGGAAGAAGTTCATCTTGTCAGTGTTTCCAGATCCCGTGATAGGGATGTAAGACATTGGTGAGGGAGCGACGTCAAAATGTCCCTCACCAGTAGTGGTCCATCTCACATTATATACCATGGGTAACTTGAGTTCATGAGCCAGGAGAATGCCTGCACCCCATGCCGGATCAGTAAGCATCAGATCATACTGTTTTTCATGCAGTGCCTTCATAATTTCCTCACTTTCAAACATGTTTGTTATAAGCTGACATATCATTTTATGCATTTTAACCATGTCACTAACCATATCCAAACTCAGCCGTACAGCGCTCAGCCAGTACCTTTTTCCTTTTTCATGGTCGATTAGTTTGGAGAGCATGTCTTCTAAAAATTCTTCATCCATTCCTTTGGTGTTTGGTATGGTTATAGAGTTGTAATAAGTTGAATTCTCCTTTACGAACCAGCTATTATAGGTGCGTATTACATCAATGCTGTGCCCTTGACTATGTAAAGCGTTGATGAGAATGTCCATGTTCACCCAGTGACTTCCCTCCACAGGCACCACCAAGATTTTGCCACCATCACAGAGAGAACCAAAAAGAATTACGACTGTTATCCAGAGAGAGACAGAAACCATGTTCTTAGAAATTGGTGTCATCTTACCTGTAAATGATAAAATAATTGGATCACATAATTTTGGATAATATTATTTGTGTTACTTCTGTTAATAATAATGTTGCCGACACTGCAGTACTGACATAACAAAATAAAGAAATGAAATAAATTTAGAGTAGTAGCCAGGTTTATTTGTGTCACCACGTTATCTAAATGCCTTGTCAGGCAAACCAGGCAAAATAATTCAGATGGGTTACTCTTAAACAAACTCACGAGCCTACACACTCTACAAAAATCTCAGGATAGCTGGCTCTTGGTTAGTCAATTTAACACTCACAATTAAATAAATAAATAAAACCAAACTTATTTTTTAACTTCATCAATGGATAATTAACATGTTCTCTCTTTTTCATTGTTTCAACGTGATCTGTCATCTCCACTAAAGCACTGATTTACATAAATTCTAAGCATTTCACTTTCTGAATACCTTAGAGCTCCCAGATACAAAAATTCAACAGTTAAAGGGATAGCTCACACAACATTTTTAATTATGTCATTATTCACTCACCCTCATGTCGTTCCAAACACAAGACTTTTCTTCTTTTTTCGGAACACAAATGAAGATCTTTTTTATGAAATCTGAGAGCTTTCTATCCCTCCATAGACAGCAACGCAGTTGACACTTCAAAACGTTCATAAAGAGATCACAAAACTAATCCATATGAATTGAGCAGTTTGGTCCAGATTTTCTGAAGAGACTTGATCACTTTATATGATGAACAGATTGAATTTGGGATTGAAACATTGATCAGCAAACATAAACAAAAGCTCAACTGAACCAGCTTGATGCCCAAGAACAAACTTCTTGTGGAAGCTCAAACGTTCTATGTAGGACACAAGAATGAACCTCGTTGGTTCTTGCACATCAAACGAACATGCTTGAGCTTTCGTTTACCTCAACTGATGTGTGTGTTGATGAATGTTTATATGTGAATAAAAGCCTAATTTGTTCATCATATGAAGCGATTGAGTCTCTTCAGAAAATTTTGGACTAAGCCGCTTAATTATATGGATTAGTTTTACGATCACTTTATGAACTTTTTGAAGCATCAAAGTTTCAGTTGCATAGCTGTTTATGGAGGTATAGAAAGCCCTCAGCTCTTTTCTTAAAAAAAGATCTTCATTTGTAATCCGAAGATAAATGACAGTCTTACGGGTTTGGAAAAACATGAGGGTGAGTAATTAATGAAATCATTTTTTGGGGAACTAAACCTTTAACATGTCAATTACATCCATATATCCGTTCAGACCCTTTTACATGATCAAACATATTTCTGTCATGCCAACTCTCGGAGTGATTGGCATGGTAATGGGTATGACAATGTTGTATGTTTGGTCTTGGCGGAATAGACCTACTACATTGCTGCTGTAGGCTGCTGCGGTAGAGCAAGTATGGGACTTGCTACTGCCAATACATACACGACACGCTGCTGTGAGCAAGTAAGACATGCTGCTGCTGTACAAGATGGGGTACATTAATTACCCGTAGCAAATCTATACAGGTGGAGCTGGGGAAGGTGGAGGGTTTCTGAAAGCGCGCTGCACTGCTAGGGCAAATGCTACCCAAGTATTTGAAGGTTGAGCAGCGAGCTCATTGGCAACTGATACAGCAGGAACCAATCAGCTGCGCCCTACAGATAACGATGTGACTATGAACAGGTGAGTAAAAGCACCTATTAGCCTGCACCATCTAGAGTTTCATGCCAGAACTTTGTATACATACACAAGTAAACGCTCTCTCTCGTTTTTTTTTCTTTTTTTTCTCACTTATTTTTATGTTCATATGCGTTAGGGTTCAATCTGTTTTTCGGGTTGCACTGCTGTCTGTGTAGTGTGATTTTGTTCCCAAACCACTTCACCAGAAATCCCACCCTGCAGCTAATTTCATTAGGGTTACAGTGACGGGTAGGCTTAGGGATCAGTGTTTGGTGTAGGCAATCATTACCAATACAATTTTAAGAATCTGCTGCAGGCTGGAGTTCCCGCTGAATTGGTTTGATGAAAACTCTTTAGGAGAACTGCCGCCATCTCCTGTACTGGACAACAAACTGTATTTCTCACCCATGAAATCAAAATGAACAATTCTTATTTTTTATGGGATATCGCAGTAGACTATTTATTATGAATGATTTATCTGTGCGCTATCATTATAGTTTAAAATTAATTTGCCCTCCTAATCTTTTATCAAAAGAACTTTCCCTAACTCTTCCAGTGACATCTCTTCTCTTCTCTTTTTGGTGTGAGGGTGAGACAACCTCACTCACATAAGATTACAGCAATAGCAAATGATGACGATCCAACAATCAAATCAATTCCCAATGGACAAAATCATGTCCCACTCTCAGGGCTTGACATTAGCTACGTTCGACCAATCAGTGTATAACATCAAAGTATGCTCTAACGGCACTGTGATGGGGTATGGAGTTAATTTTGTGCCATAATTAAACAAACAAATCTAGCATCTTGCAAACAAACTCGATCTGCTTTGCGAAGGAAAACTCGACTCGCAAACAAACAGAAAGCAATGTGCAAGTACAAAGGTCAATTTGAGCGAAAATGCAGTGGAGTAACAAACATGTATTGATAAATAAATGAGCCTAGATAATATTTCACAAATAAATTCAAACCATTCTACAAATTGCATGCAACCTTTGAACACATACCAAATCTAGTGCATACAAATGCATATCTGTCTGTTATGACTGTGAGACACTTGGCTTTTTATGAGATCTCTCGGCTCGATTTTCTCACAAATGTGTCCAGGCAGATTTTCTCACAAATGCAGTTGAGCAACTTCCTCTTCTAAAACAGTAGATGGCGCTAAGTTAGGGGATTAATTGAGTGCTAGTCTCCCGGGAGAAACACTGATTTAAAATGCGTGCTTGACTTTGCCTACAGCTGAGGAAAATGAGCAGTGATGAGGTTTCTGTCTAACTTTATCTATAATTAACCATTTTGAGGTTTTCTTTTGCAAAATGTTTATTACACATCTAGACAGAAATCAACATTAGCACTTAGAAGCACTTCTCTCTCTCTAGGATATAGTAATATATAAGCTCAAAGCTCTGCCATCATATGTTGCTTTTTACATTTTTTCTACATTGGACGCATGCGAAATTACTAAATTTGTGATTATGTCTACACTGAACGAGTCGATTTTTTTCGTTCCCCAAAATGCATGAGAACTTTTCATTTAATTGAAAGGAGGGTTTCATTTTTCTGTCCCATTCCAACGAAATTTCAAAATGCACCTGCACCTGCAAATACATAATATTTTTCCAGTCATATATTTTGTCATTGAAGATTTCTAAAAAATAACTTTAAAGTTTCATCTTGTGAGTCTTGTATATTGTCACACACCTAATAAAACAATTTCACAACAAAAAAAGTGAAAATTCTGAGTGCCTAGTAAATTTGGAAAACCACTAGCCACAGAGGCTGGTGAGCAAAAGAGTTAATATCAAGCCCTGCCGGCCTAAATATTTTATTGTTTGAGAAGCCATTTCAGTCGAATATACATCACAATAGAGAAGAAAATTATTTTGCAACGTCTGTTTATGCCGACTTCAATTTGTTTTTTTAATGTCAACATGCACTAGATGACTCGTGTCTCACACTCAAGACCCTGCCTTCTTTTCCATTCATCAGTGCTTCGATTCTGCAGTTACTTTTTCATTGTAGCCTAGTAACCGCTGAACTATAGTACCTATAATATTAAGCATTTTGCTATTTTTTTTAAGAGCAAAAACACATTCTGTGTTGTAGTGTCATTCTTGTCTAATAAAGAAAAACAGCTGAGGCAGAAAGAGTTCCCTTCTGATACGGTTTACTCGCATTGTGTCAACTACTGATGCTTATGGGGAAAACTCTGCTTTTCTCCAAATACTGAAGCCTGATGGGTTCACATGCACAGACAAATGGCTTTTCAGCTTGCCGAATCGGTTGGGGCCATCTGCTCAAGTCATAAAGTCAAGAATTTTTCTCCTTCAGCGCAAAGATCATCTCACTGACTCAGAAGAAGACAATGAAAAAGAAACCTTCCCGCTCGCTGTGGAAAAAAAAACCAGCAGCGGATTAATGGTGCTGACAGCTTGACAGCTCGACAGCTGAGAATGGCGCTTCTTCCCAGTGGCTAACCTGTGAGACTAATTGAGTAGATTTCACCCTAAAAGAGCATATTTTTGCCAGCGTTTGTTTTTTGCCAAACTCTGCGCCACGAGTGTGTCACATACAGGGCATCCCTGTTCTCCACCATTCTCTCCCTGAGAGGACGAAACAACGGAGTCGCAGAGTGAGCAGATCATGGGACTGAGTGAGCTCACGCTGGCCCATACCCTACGTACCTCATTCTCCCTACAGCGAGGGAATTCCCTGGTGCTCCTCTCACGTAGACCAGCGCCCTTGTCTGGTACGAGTGTTCTAGTCTTTTTTATGTGTTCCGAGGAGGAATTTGCCAATAATATTGGCAGCTGCAGATACAGGGAAGTGGTCGGACTCCATGGAAGACTCCGCCCCCTACAGCCTAGGGAGACAGTTGATGTTGAGCCTGGCCTGAACTTGTCGTGAGCTCGGTTTGGAGTAGCCGACCCCGGAAGTGCCTGCCCACAGTCGTCTCAATGAATGGTTCCTGCAGCTGGGGCACCATCATTGAGCTCCCTGCCAGAAACCTACCCCTTTCATTCATGAACTTACCAGTTGTGCTGCGCATCACCGCCACCATTGGTGGCGGCGGCAAAAGCTTCCCCCTGGAGGGGGCCGTCACCACAACTCTGCCCGCCCACGGCCCTGGGATGAAAATCCAAGGCTGTTCATCCCTCTAAGCCATGCAGGGCCACATCTGCCTTCTGGCCAGAGCCTACTCTGCTGCCTGTCAAGCTGGATCCACTCTCAACACAATGGCGGTCCTCCGAGTGTTTCAAGTCAAACTCCTCTGCACTATGAATGAGTCCGTTCCAGACCTTGCTGCTTTCAAGGAGCTGTGCAGCGCA